TGCAGTAGAAAAGGGGGGAGCAGGGTCAGCTGACCACCCTCCCTCACCAAATGGGCTGAATTAATGTCCATCTCTTCTAAATGGCAATGAGTGCAGGAATGAAATAGGGTTATAGAGCTGGGCAACATACCCTGGAGAGTGTAAAATCCATGAGAGTGCAAAATGAAAACTTAGGAGAGACCAGTTAGCTTCCCTATGACTATGAAAACACACACAATGTCTGAATTTGAACCCACATGTGCAGTCTATAGTGTTCCAAATTTTGTATGCTTCTAGTATTATATAGTAAATGTGGAGTTGTGCTTGCTGCAATTACACAGCTTCAGCAGATGGCCTTTTAAACATGGGCCAGTTTAGTCCACTTTGTGTTAAGTCATCTTTGGCTTTCGGGAAGGGGAAAATGTTATGTTCTAGGAGTAAGGAAGGTAAAGGTAAGGTAAGGGAATCCTGGACAGTTAAGTCCAGTCAAGGCAATTATGAGTTGTAGCACTCATCTTGCTTCAGGCCAAGGGAACCAGCATTTGTCCATAGACAGCTTTCCAGGTCATGTGGCCAGCATGACTAAACAGAAGCAACTGAACACCCTGATGGAAACCAGAGCACACAGAATTGCCGTTTACCTTCCTGCCACAGCAGTACCTATTAATCTACTTGCACTGGTATGCTTTCAAACTGCAGAAGCTGGGACAGAGCAACGGGAGCTCACCCCATTGTCCTGATTCAAACCACCGACTTTTTGATTGGCAAACCGAAGAGACTCAGAAGTCAACTAAAATATTTTAGACAACATAGTGAAGGTCTAGTTACTCAGGGCTTTTTGTTCTGTTACATTCTTATCCCACCTTTCCTCCTAGAACTATGTGCTCTGTTCAGTGCTTGACCTTTTTAGACTGGGGATGGTGCGGGTAACTTATTTTGGCCCAAGGGATGCATCACTCTCTGGTGGCCATATGCAAGCAATGGGTGTGCCCTATGGAAGTTCAGTTAGCCAAGTCTTAGTCTGAAATTCTACAAATGCTTACTCAAAAGTAAGGGTGCAATCTTATGCATGCGTACTAGTTCCTGATGTCCCACTTGTTCCTGATGTAGATCTTCACTCACCCCTTCTTCCCTAGCAGGGAAGGGGGCACCATTCTGTGGTTCGCCTCAGTTGCCAAAATGTCTTGGGCTGGCCCTGTCACTTGGACAGTGCTCTTTAAGAGGGATGTTGCTTGGTATTCTGTGACAGGTGAGGCAAGCAACTAACATTATTGCATTTTATCACATTCACCTCACAGAAGTGCCGGTTCTAAGATCATGGCATACAGATCACCAGTTTTCAAGTCCATTTCCCTGCTCTTTAAGCATTCCTCTCTGCAGCGTTGAATTTCCAATGTGATTTGCCACCTTCGTGCAAACTCTGATTTCCAGCTGCACATCACAGGAAGAACAACCCCAAACTCTTGGAGGCTGCAAAATGTTTCTGTGTGGTTAAAAACAATTTTGGCAAACATGCTTAATTTCAAGCATCTTTCTGTTATGCTTAAATGGCAGGCAATGGATAAGACCTTTTTTAAAATAAAAATGTCTCACAAAGACACAATGAAATGCTTGTCTTCCCCAATCACAGAAACTCCAGGCTTTACAAAAATACTGCTGACTGATGTGCCCAAAAGATGACATCTGTATTGTATTGGTTGACTGGCTGAACTAGTGTAATGGCTTGGAATGTTCAGTTGCTCCGGGAACAAAGCAGTTTGCAGACCAGCTTCTGCAAAGGAAGGGGAAATTTTCATTGGTTTGGCTGGGGTTAAAACCTCACACAGTGGATGGGAAAGCTCCCTCTAGCTCTCCTCATAATTAGCTTGGTATTTCTGAGATGTCACAAAAAATTCCTGGAAAATACTCAGGGTCTTTCTGAGGGTTCTCTGAAAAGCTTTGAAAGATCAAGTCTCCAAGTGATTACCCCCATCCCCATTCCAAGCAAGCTTATTCTCACTAGCCACAAAGTTTATTTTTGTTAGCCAAGCAAGCTCATAATAACCGCTCTGACTACCGTATGTTCTACCTATGCTGTTTTGGAGGCAGTATGCCTCTGAATGCCAGTTGCTGGGGAAAGCACTGTTGTGCTCAGGTCTGCTTGAGGGCATCACATAGACATCTGGTTGGCCTTTGGTCTGATCCAAAAGGCTCTGCCTATGTCCTTATGCTCACAAAGTTTGTATGGGGGGGGCAATGGTGACTAAGGAGTGCTGGACGGAGGCAGCAGAGGTTTCATGAACGTCATCTTTAAGGCCTGCAATTCTCAGGAGCATCCTTTGCTGCTGTGATGCATAGGAACTATAATTTTAAATGCCTCCTAGCTCAATTTATTAAAGTTGGAGGTAGGGATGGATCAATATGTCAATCTCAGTTTAATTCATTTCTGATTTTCCCCCAGTCTTAAATTCAATTAACCCTACTTGCACATCAGTTTGCAAATAAAATAAAATAAAATAAAATGAACATGAAAATTCAGCATTTCATGTGAGTTTCTCCTAATATACACCTTTTTGCAAACAACGTCCCCTAAAGTACTCCATTTTAATACCAGTATATGGATTTTTGTGCACACTTTCCCACAATTATGCTTTTCGGTTGGAGAAATGTATCACCAAATTCAGAGAAGTGCAAATTTCAGCTGGTAGCTGTGTTTCAGTTCACATACTGGTTCTGGAATTGCTAACTAGGTAGACATTAAAATGTGAACTGAGTGGATTTCTCTCCCACCCCTGTTAACATTGGAAACTACAATTCTCATGCATCCACATAGCAAGAAACACTGATGAACAGGCTATGGTGTATCTGGGCCTTAGGGATGTTGCCCCTACAAGTCTTCCTTATTCCTTGTTGTTGTTGTTGTTGTTTAGTCGTTTAGTCGTGTCCGACTCTTCATGACCCCATGGACCAGAGCACGCCAGGCACCCCTGCCCTCCACCGCCCCCCGCAGCCTGGTCAAACTCATGCTGGTAGCCTCGAGAACACTATCCAACCATCTTGTCCTCTGTCGTCCCCTTCTCCTTGTGCCCTCCATCTTTCCCAGCATCAGGGTCTTTTCCAGGGAGTCTTTTCTTCTCATGAGGTGGCCAAAGTATTGGAGCCTCAGCTTCACGATCTGTCCTTCCAGTGAGCACTCAGGGCTGATTTCCTTAAGAATGGAGAGGTTTGATCTTCTTGCAGTCCATGGGACTCTCAAGAGTCTCCTCCATCACCATAATTCAAAAGCATTAGTTGACACTTTTTGCTGGGGGGTTTTCCCTTTGCAATGATACATTTCCTTGGGAAAAGGGAGGGCTGCTAAAGAGGAGCACTGGGGTTGAATCCCTTATGGGCTATTATGGAATTTTGGAAGCAATTTAGACGCAGCCCAGGAATTCTCAACTGCAGGAGATTGTTCCTGATTCCCCCTTCCATTCCAAAATTTTCCATTATCACTACAGAAGACTTGAAAGAAGTCCTGGGAGATAGGGAAGATATATCTTTAAAGAGGACTCAGATTAGATTTGTATTCCCTGCCTTCATTTGCATTTGACAGATGGACAAAACAATCTGAATGTTGATATAGTTGTCTGGCTTCTTGAATGTTTCAAGTGGCCATTTTTTCTTAATTTTAGCCAACCTGGTGTCCTCCAGACACTGTAGATTACTGCTCTCATCAGACCTGGCCAGCATTGCTAATATCCAGGGGTGATAAGAGTTGAAACCCAAAACATCTAGAGGCCCCCATTTTGGCTACCTCTGGTCTAGCCATTCTAGATATGCCAATGACACATTCATATTCATCCTGAAGTCCATTGTTCTCTGAACCTCCTTGTGCATCACCTTTGCTTCTGCTAGGAATAGCATGCACACCTGAGGCGTGGGGTGCAGAAGCGCCTCAGCCTACTTGGGATGGATAAGTACATTCCAGCACACCTGGCCTGAAGTCCACACTGGTGGGGAGAGTGTAATATTTCCTCCATGCCATTGTTTGTCATTTGTGTTCAGATAAGGTGGGATGATACATAGAGGGAAGGAAAGTAGAACTCTTCAGGCTCAGTAAAAACAAATGTTTCCTTCACATAACGAAGAAGATTGGGAAACAATTTAAAACTAAAAAAAGACTCTGAGTAGAGATGCATAGGATTAACTCTCAAACACAATCACTTGATGTGATTCGCCAGCTGCATTGCTAGCATAAGTGTCATGCTTAAGAAGCAGCCAAGATATTTCACAATATATGGAAAAATGTACATATTCTGTAAGGGTGGACCATAGATGAGGCACTTGGAATGAATAATGAGAAATTCAGCTGGTTTCATTTCTTTGATGGCCATGTTTATGACAGAAACCATTTAACAGCCTTGGTCTGGTAAAGATTTCTTATCTTAAGTCACTCTGCCTGTCCATGTTTTTGTCTCCCTATCTCCATGGAAAATTCAAGGCATGCTTTCTTTCCTACATAGATAATTCCTAACATCACAGTAAAAATGGAATATAGTGACTACAGAAACACAATCCAGCCAAAGCAGAGCATATTCAGCCTGCGTAAGTTCACTGTTCAAACCAATGGGACCTATGAATGCTTAACTTTGGCAGTCCACTCATTTATCAAAGAATGCAACTCCTTTCCTGCTTTTGTAGCCTAGGTCATAAATGCCACCAGGCATAGCTGCTTTAAGGGCTGCTTGCCATTCCAGCAGTTAAGAGCATTCAGCCTCTCCAGGCTTCATTTGGTTCATAAACACATACATTTTTGTCTTGCTGCCAGGCCCATCTAGTCCAGCATTTTGTATCCATAGCACCCAGTCAGATTTCCTATGGATGCACACAATCAGGGCAACAAAAGAAATGTCCATACCCTGGACATTTGCCATGTGTCACTCACTCTTGTACCTATCTTCATAAAGAAGTTCTCAAGTGATGTTTACGTTTGCACGTGCTGAGATACAGGTTCATACAGGGCTACGCTAGATAGACAATGAAAGCTTCAAGTGTACACGATGGCTGCTGTCACCATTTGCAGGAGAGGGAAAATATTCAGGTTAATTCACTGGCTTCAGATTTGGCGCTACGATGAGTGAGAGTCCGTTAGATCCAATCAATAGACTGGTAGACGTGTCACCCTGAATCTCAATGAGTATTCTACTAAAAACTTCTAACTCACATATAGAGCAACATGGGAGCAGGGCTGGATGTGTGGATGTTGGAGGAAGGAATTTATTAATACATTAAATATCAGGTGTGGTGCTGCCACTCCCTTGGTGCTTCACATGGGAGCTGGAATACCTGAAGAATGAGTTATTGAGAAAATCAGATACCCCTAGCATTCATTCATTCATTTAATTTGTAAGCGGCTTTTGCACAAAAAAGCATGCTGTAAGCAGCTTATGACAAAAAAATAGGGATGCATTCATAGCAAGCACTACAAAACAACAATAATGTAGTAAAATAAAAATATGATAACATACAAAACATCACATTTCAATACTATAAATATAACAATATTACCATATTTTTCACCCCATAAGGCGCACCTACTTTTTTTGGGTGGGTGGGGGGAATTCAAGGGAAAAAAATATGCGGCTCTTGGGGGCTTTTGCAGGAGGTGGGGGAAGTGAGAGAGCATCGCTCTGTCCCTTCCCCCACCTCCCGCAAAAGCCAGGGATAGCCGCGTGAAGCCTCCCCAGGGCAGCTGGATGAAGGCTCCCTGCTGCCCTGCGGAGGCTTCGCAGGCTACCCCAGAGCTGCTCAACCCAAAGAGCAGGTCGGGGAGCAGCGGTGGGGGAAGCGTGGCTTTCCCCCACTGCCAGCCCCACAAGCTCGGGGAGCAGCCTTTCCGCTGCTCCCCAATCTGCTCTTTGGGGAAAGCCACCGCCAGCCCCAAACACCAGGTCAGGGAGCAGCGGAAAGGCTGTGCGCAGCCTTCCCGCTGCTCCCAGAGCTTGTCGGGGCTGGCGAGGGAAGCCCGGGTCCCCCCCCAACCCCAGGGACCACACATTCGCTCCATAAGATGCACAGACATTTCCCCTTAGATTTTAAGAGGAAAAAAGTGTGTCTTATGGAGCGAAAAATATGGTACTTAAACAGCATGCCGCATCATGTAGCAAAAATAACAAGGGAGCCTCACTGTTTCACTCACTCATTTATTTATTTATTTATTTATACATACATACATACATACATACATACATACCCTGCCCATCTGGCTGAGTTGCCCCAGCCACTCTTAGTCCTAGAAACAGCTGTCCCATGTTGCTCACAGTTTCTCTGCTACAGCTGCTTCTTAGAAGGCTTCCAAAGGCAAGGGCTAGGGGTGAGGATAGCTGGAAAGACCCACAATGTGATGAGGTGCTTTCTGCACAACAAACAAGCAACAAGTATAGCCCTGTTAAGGAGCTTGCCTAAGCACATGTGGAATTAAGCTGAGGATAAGGGCAAGGACATGTCTATAAGTCCAATGTCCCCAGAAGCACAGGCTCCTCTTTCAACCTTTGCATGGTTAGAATCTTCTCCTATTGCAAGTCTCAGTAGTGACAATATAAAAGGATATTATTAAAATAACGAGGTGGCCTCCCAGTTAAGAAGCACCCTTCAAACCCAATGACAAATGGCCGCTATGATACAGGCTTTTAAGTGAGTCTTAGAACTCGCCTTTCTGGACCTTTCCTTGGTGCCATGCAGCTAGTGAGGTTTCTGCTTGACTTTTTGTTTTCAGATTTCAGAGCTGTTTGAAAATGTTTCATGTGAAGTTTGATGGAAAAGTTCCGGTTGCTGTTTTATAGTGGCTTTACAATAGTTTGATTTTCTTACAGCATTACCCTGTTGCATATGTTGCCTGAAAGGTAGCCTTTAAAATGGATGGATAGATTCAACTTAAAAGTGCTTAAGTTGGACCTTGACCGGCAGTGATGATGTTGACGATTATGTGTTATTTCAAAAGAAACATCAAGAGCCAATCCATTAAAAAAAAAAAAAAAACTTACTGGGCACAGGAACTTCTCTTACTTATATAGGAAAAAGAAAGTTCAATTGCTTTTTGGACTCTCTGAATATTCTCCCCCCCCCCAAATATTGTACAGCCACTACTCCTAAATAATAGCAGCCAGTTGTCCTGAAGCAATAATACCAAAGAAGACTTTTATTAACCATTTCCTGGCTGTGTGCCCCCCTCCCCAATTGCCAAGAGGGTATGGGAACTGATAATTGAAACATTCAGTGAAAATCAGGCAAGCTCTAACTAGAGCTGTGTGCATAATGCATTAACGTGAGAAAAATGCATGTCTGTCCCATGACTCACAGAGCAATTAAAATGTATTTCAGTGAATTAATTTCCCATAATAGCTATGACACAGCTGATCAGGAGGAATCAAGTAAGAATTGAATTCACACATTTAAAAGAATAAATAATAGTAATCAACATCATCACAATCTTCTAAGTTAGGTGGAGAATTAGCATCAGCCTCACCAATTATTTTCCTTCAGGGGCCCCTCCTCTTTCTACATGAAAATAATACAATAAAATTGTCCGAGGCTTTGGCAACAGGCTTTTGTGGGATTGTGTGTGTGTGTGCGTGCCTTTCATATGATAATTGAGAGATTCTATGGCAACCATTGAAAAAGAAAAGGGGGGGGGTCTGAAAACAAAAGCTGTAGCAGAAGAGGATCAGTGCACATTCAGAGCATCTGCAGGAATAACGGCAAGTCTCGCCTTCTAGATGTAAAAAGTGCCTGATGATAGGCTAGCAAAGGCACTGATTTAACTCAAGCAGAGACAGTATGTAATTAATGCAGTTCCCAGCTTTAGCTTTCAAATCTGCCCAGCTATGCTCTTCTGTACCATCCATTTAAATGCGCCTTGCACCATAGGGACAGATTACACCAGGATGCCCTGTTGGAGCAATTATTATGGCATACGATAGCACTGTTTATTTAAATAGTACCATCAATCCACTAGCAGTCCATTATGGAAATGTTTCTGTCTCAAAGACCCCTGGTTCCAAAGTGCTTACAATTTGTAAGGTCTCTGCCCCAATGTGCTTACAATCTGAAGTTGGGTTGTGACTAGAGAACAGCAGGGGAGATTTTGAGAGCAGTGGGTCTGAGGACAGTTAATGCTGAAGGATACCAGAATCACAGAAATGAATATATTGGAAGCCAAGGGCAGAAAGGCTAAGAGGGACAAGGCCATGGAGAGTTTTAAAGGGAAGGAATTGTATGTTTGATGTGGAAAAGGGGAAAGGATAGGACTGCACCATGGAATGGTTGGAAGCAGAATGGTGGGAAGAACCAGGTGGGGAACCCCCAAGGGAAGAAGGCTCAGACCCTGCAGATTGGTGGTGGGACAATGAAGAGGGAGGAGGGAGCAGACTGGGAGGCGAAGGTGTTGGAAGCAGAAAAGGTAACAGAGCATAGTGAGCTGGGAGAGTTTGTGGCAGAGAGAAGTCTAGAATCAGAGGCAGAAGCTGAAGCAGGAGAATGGGATGAAGCTGGTGAAGTCATGGGTGGCTCCCCCTCCTTTTGTGACAAGCTCTCCTCCTGGTTGTCTCCCAGATCCATAAGAGGCTTGAAAAGGGAGGAGAAGAGATTGGTGGATTTTGGGGGGGAAACCCTGGAGAGGAAGGATTTAGGCAGCTGTGGGGAGGTGGTGGCCTTCAGTCTCAGGAACTGCTTCTTCTGCTTCTGCTTCATCTTCGTATTTGTACATGCTACACAAGACGCATTCTCTGAAGGCAGGCAGTTTGTCATTTGTGGAAATCATCCAAAGCTGGAAAAACAATGTCATGGCTACCATCCTTCACATAGTTAAGCATGCCCTATTCTGAGTTCAATGAGCTTAAGTATGTCTAACTCTGAGTAGTTTGTAGCCAAAATGACCTCCAGCCTTCCTCATTATTAAATTCATCTCGGAGGGTATAATTAGAAATATATGATTTGGCTCTAAGGCTCTTGGTCACATGGACAGACTATGCTTCCTTCTCTTCAGCATGCTCCAGAATGTAAACAGTTGCTCGTTCTAGGCAAAAAGCAGTAACAGTTTTTTGAGCTTTGCTTGAGTCAGAACTAAACATTACTTGCAAAGGTAGGTATCAAAACTTGAATCACCGCTTTTGTTAGAAAAAGGCTGTTTATTCCCTCCTCCTTAATTTTGGAGAAAATAAGTGTGCATGTGGGGGGGTACTTAACCCTTCCCCACCCATCAAGTCTTCTCCAACTTCCCATAGAATTCTAGAGAGATGTTTCAGTTCACAAACTTCTGGCTGTGACCTGTTTGTTGATATAGCACGGGGTGGGGAAGACAGAAGGAAGTAGCAGATGGAGAAACATATACACACATTCCCAGTTCCAAATCTTATTTCTTTACTTAGGTCACTTCCAGACCACCTTTCAATCGAAAAGTCCCTCAAAGTGAGGTATCTTCCCCAGCCTCCCTTTCTTGAACAAACGTTGCCATGCAGATTTTGTTCTATGCATTTAAGTGTAATGCTTAGTTCCATCCATAGAAGGCAATGATAAAAGTCTACTGCTTATTCAGCAGGCTCTAATATGTGGTTGGCTGAGGAAAATGAATTCACATCAATGCATTTGGAGTACAGTGTACATACACTGTTTCTTTGTTTGTGGTTTGTTTTGTTTTTGGGGAAAAGTTGTTTCTAATTGACCTAAATACTATTCATTTTCAAGCATTTTTAATTTTTGGCACAGGATATTAAAATTTTAATGCGGGGCACTGTAGAAATAGGTTCAAGCAGCACATGATCTAGTGGCGTGCATCAGAGTCATGAAACAGGCAGCTGTCTTGCTAGGATTGCTTCCTCCTCCTAAAAACCACAACTCAAAGTCTTATGATTCCTAGAAAACAAGAGGGGGAGAAGGGGAAATTCCTGACTTCTAAAGAACAGAACCACTAGACTTTTTTTTTTGCAGGAGGCCATACTGTAACAATTCCTCATTCTCTTGTTTTGTATATAACCAGTTTCAAGGCAATACAAAGTATAGGCATGCATGATCCATCCATCCCAAGTGAAGTACACTGTATTTTTCGCTCTATAAGATGCACCAGACCACAAGACGCACCTAGCTTTTTGGAGGAGGAAAACAAGAAAAAAAATATTCTGAATCTCAGAAGCCAGAACAGCAAGAGGGATCACTGTGCAGTGAAAGCAGCAATCCCTCTTGTTGTTCTGGCTTCTGTGATAGCCGCGCAGCCTGCATTTGCTCCATAAGATGCACACACATTTCCCCTTACTTTTTAGGAGGGGAAAAGTGAGTCTTATAGAGCAAAAAATACGGTAGTTTTCAACCAAATTTATTTAGGTGGCAGAGCTATGCTCATGCTTAGTTCTTTCCTCATTGAAGTAAATGGTGCCCACTCTGCATTTGAAGTCACAATGTTAAGTGAAGCAGGAAAAGGCTTCTTCCTCTGTGATGGTACCATAGCAATGGAACGTCCTCCCAAGGGATGCCTTTGTTCATTTCTTGATGACCTTCAGGTGCCTGGCCAAGGTAACCCTTTTCCAGCAAGATGTTGGGATAGATTCTTGACTGCACATTGATTTGATTTTTTTTACTGTTTTCTTTTCTTTTATTGCTACTGGATTTTATTGCTTTTAGACACCATTTTAATTTTAATTTTTTTAACATTGTATTTCTAAGTCAGTTTCAAACAACAAACTGCTCTCTCTTCCTATAAGCATTTTGGTACATTTGGTACATTTTCTTAAAAATAACCTCTTTTAGTAAATGAGTGGCTCTGCTAAAAATGGTGTCATGATGACTGTATCAGTGTTCCTCTGTTTGAATGAACACTGAAGCTTTCATTAAACAGGATTCCAATGGAATTGCATACTATGAGGCTTTTCACCCTGAGAACTTGCCCATAAGTCAAGATAGAAAGCTGAACTGCAATAATGCCCAAATGATTAAAAATGACGTGTCCCCATTTTTGAAAGCATTAGTCTTAATATATTTCTTAAGAACTGCAGTTTACATCATTTTTGTTACCACGGGATGGAAATTCCCTTTCTGAAGTCTTGGGAACACTGCTCTTTTTCGGCATATTATTTGCCAGCTGCCCTAAAAGAAAAAAGAAATGAAACAGAAATTAGTTGCTGAAAGTCTGCAGGGCAAAATCTCCATAATGATGCCTATTTACCAGTAAAAGTGAACTAATTCACAAAACCAATTTAACTTTGATCCCAAATTTTACCCCTCATTTCTTAGAATCAGGCATTCAAACATGGTACAGAAAATTATGGAGGGAAGCCTTTCAAGACTAAGTGATGGTGACATAAATCAAGGTGAGTTATGTAAAGAATACTATTGTTTGTTTTAAACCGATTTAATATTGTATTTTTAAATTGCTGGTAAGAACACCACCACCACAATGTGTCATACAGATTTATTCAGCAAGATTTATATACCATTTAACAAAACAATATCTAAGGAGTTTACATAATAGTGCAAAACAGTTGTTCAAAATGATAATAAAAGGGCAGACAATCAAATTATCAAAATATAGATGAAATCAACTGTTTGGAAAATATGAACAAACTTGCATTCAAGTTTGGGTTGGTTTGTTTCAGGAGGTGTTGAAAACAATAGAATGAAGACAGCTGCTTACATAGCCTTTTTAAAGCACAATTATGTGCTAATATTTTATAGCAATAAGTTACGATCCCTATGAAGGGAGCAGGGGGGCCCTGCTCACTGCCCTCATCCCCACAGACATATCCCTGATGGGTCTGCTCCCCCCCCCCGCACATGCTGCACTATCCACATGCCTGGTGAGGAAAGGTCTGAAGCTCACTGCCTGGTTTAGAGTTCTGCACACAAGTGGAGAGGGCACCTTGCTTCAGATCTCCCACTCAGCTGCGGCACACAGATGCAGGTGGGCTGCAATCGGCATGGCCCCACTTTTCTCCTCACAAAATTCACAATGCAAGAGGTTTGAATGCCTGAATAGGCCCATAGACTTCCTTAATTTCATCTTTTATCAAGTGGTGCCATTTTTGTTGTTTAGTCGTGTCCGACTCTTCATGACCCCATGGACCAGAGCACGCCAGGCACTCCTGTCTTCCACTGCCTCCCGTAGTTTGGTCAAACTCATGCTGGTAGCTTCGAGAACACTATCCAACCATCTCGTCCTCTGTCGTCTCCTTCTCCTTGTGCCCTCCATCTTTCCCAGCATCAGGGTCTTTTCCAGGGAGTCTTTTCTTCTCATGAGGTGGCCAAAGTATTGGAGCCTCAGCTTCACGATCTGTCCTTCCAGTGAGCACTCAGGGCTGATTTCCTTAAGAATGGATAGGTTTGATCTTCTTGCAGTCCATGGGACTCTCAAGAGTCTCCTCCAGCACCATAATTCAAAAGCATCAATTCTTCGGCGATCAGCCTTCTTTATGGTCCAGCTCTCACTTCCATACATCACTACTGGTAAAAGCATAGCTTTAACTATACGGACGTTTGTTGGCAAGGTGATGTCTCTGCTTTTTAAGATGCTGTCTAGGTTTGTCATTGCTTTTCTCCCAAGAAGCAGGCATCTTTTAATTTTTTGGCTGCTGTCACCATCTGCAGTGATCATACAGGCACCAAAATATGGCCTACCATATTTTGAAGTACAGTGGTACCTCGGGTTAAGTACTTAATTCGTTCCAGAGGTACGTTCTTAACCTGAAACTGTTCTTAACCTGAAGCACCACTTTAGCTAATGGGGCCTCCTGCTGCCGCTGCGCGGCCGCTGCACGATTTCTGTTCTCATCCTGATGCAAAGTTCTTAACCCGAGGTAGTATTTCTGGGTTAGCGGAGTCTGTAACCTGAAGCGTATGTAACCTGAAGCATATGTAACCCGAGGTATCACTATAATTTCAATAATTGCTGTTGCCATCTAAAGAGGGCCTCCCATAAGACCATTGAAGGTCTAATTGCCATATTTTGAAGAGCAAAACAGAGGACAATTTGCTGACTTCTACTTTTAACTATGGATCACTAAGACAACTCTCATTTTACATACCCATGAAAAAGAGGACATGTCCTGGAAAAAGAGGACATATGACAACCCAGGTTGTGCTACTATTATTATTATTTAAACACTAGTTGCATTCGGGGCAAGGGAGCAATTATCATTGGCACCATGATGTGTGAGGTTTAACCCTTCCCACACCAGACGTAATCTCAAGTAAAATCACCTGCTTCCACACATAGCAATTAATAAGGGGGTGGGGAACCTCTCGTTGGTGCCAATTGGATATTTTTGGGTAATGTGAATTGCTGTGTTTCTGTCGTGTCTCTTCTCTTCTGCACAGGGTATCATAATTTAAGCAAAAGTGAAAATTTATAGACTGCTATCTCCTTAAAAGCCATATTTTAAAGTTAGATTGTGCGAATTCAAAATGTTTGCTTTCTTTTCTGGTGGCTTTCCCAAACAATCTGTCTGAAGTGGTTTTACTGCACTCCATCCATTTATGCTAATTTTCCAAAAGGCAAATAATATGATATCCAGTCTCTCTAATGAGCCAAGACTGGCTGTGTTCTATATACCTGCTGCACTTCTATATCCCCTGTTTTTAAAAGCTAGACATTGTAGGCTCCAGCACACAAATGAAGTATGACACCAGGGTTTATTAAAGAAGTTTTCCTGTGACCTGTTTCAAAGTTGCCAAGACTTCACCTTTCCTTATTACCTCAGTGACCAAGCACCTCAGTTTAGATCTGACAAAATAAGCCAGAAAGGGCAAGGATTGAGAATGCATGTGGTGGGCCACACACCTCCAGAAATCTTGCCCATACAGTATCCTCAAGCTGCACATATTTATATATAAAAAATATGCCAACACAATCCTACTGTCTTACTGAATGTTGCAATGTACATCATGAGCTGCTAACTATGCTCATGTATTTAACAGTGTGATAACTAGCAAATCATTTTTCTCTTTCTATCAAGCACAAACAAGCATGTGGTACAGCAGAAGCTTTGGAAGTTCTAATATTGATATAATTCATTCTGTCAATAAAAACACATTTCTAGTTTTTCACAAGCATATAAACAACATATTTTATGCTTTCATAGTAGCAAATTCATTCTAATTATTTATTAGCTTTGCTACCCATATTTTCAAGATTGTTGACAATTCTGACATGAAATGAGACCAAACACCGCTATACATTGTGTTTCCCTAAGCAATGTATAGAATCTATACTGGTAAACATGAAAACAGTCCAATGTGCAAAACTGGGTATATTCCATTTTCACTGGGTTTTGGGAGCTTCAAATTCAGAAACTGGAGAATTATAATGATATTTTAAATCATATTTGTAGCCTTGGCCACTTAAACATATATCAATTTGCTTGTGTGAATTTACAGAGTGAAACAACTCTAGACATTCATTGTACAATTGGGATTTTACTATTAATTGAACTGCTCAATTATCCATTTGTTATAACAACAACACACTTTACATTTGAAAAGACAAACTATAGAAGAAAGCATAAACAAAAAAGTTAAAGTTATTAATATTATTTGTCATGCAAAGATATGCTAATGACAACAATGAGTGCTAGAAGTTTGCAGCCAGATTGGTTATGTAGTTGGTAATTCAAATTAATATGTGAAGTCCAGTCACCTTTATTGCTCTGGCTTAATCTTTTTGGCTTGCTGTGCAGCAGTTGGCAGGATTCTGCAGTCAGACTCTGTTCTAACCCTTCCTTACCTGTTGCCTCCTTTTCTGCCAAGCACGCAATAGTTTCTGTCTTCAGGTTCTATGCATTGCTTTTGCTCATCCTTACTCTACACTTTTCCGGCCATGATTGTTACCTCATGTTCCTGTTTTTCAAATTACTGATGATTTTGGCCCACTCACTTTAGCCACACTTTGTTCTGAGCAACTTCTCCACCACCTCTCTTTTCCCTCAACATCTTTTCAGTCACCTCAAAATCTTTTAAAACTCACTTTCAAAAGTTTTGTAAGGAGGCAACATGCCCATGACTTTGCAGGACTTCTGCCTGGCATTCCCCAGCATGTGTCCCACTCAGATCTGCTCTGGAGGTTTCCCCAACTCTCTGGAGCATATTTTAGTGGGTGCTATAGGCAGTGCTTTTTTTCCTAAAAACAATGTTTTGGGGTACTCTTATTTTCCTACTCGTATCGAAATACTGCCCCTCAATGAGGCCAAACTTAGATTCACAAAATGTTTAGGGGTATGCGTACACCTGCGAACCCCCAGGAAAAAAAGCACTGACTGTAGGGGTGTGTGGAGAGAGAGGGAGGATAAGTCTTACTGCATCTCATTGACTACTGTGAGAATAGGGTGCTAGACGAGATGGGCCACTGATTGTGCAGGCTCTTCTTAGGAGCTGATGTTGTGCAGTTGGAAGCCTGCAGTAATATCTGCTAATGATATGATGACATTGGATACAATCCTAAATAGCCACATGACATTTTTAATTTAAAAAAGGCAGACAAACACCCCTGGAGAACTGTGCAAGACTTACAATTAAGTCTTCCAATTGCTGATAATCTTCTTCTTTGGTGATCACTTGTGGCCGAGTAAGATTGTCTTCCATGAACACAGTCTTAATGGTGTGTCCATAAGTGACTGTGGAAGCCAATTCTGGATCCACACATCTTTCCACAGTGGGGACATAGGTTTTCGGGCAGGAGTTGATCATGGTGAGGCTTTGCCAAACGTGCTTTCCTCTTCACTCGTTTCTGCCTTTCATTCTGAGTTCATGCTTCTTCAAAGTCCAGGGCACCTTTGGCAAAGGCTGTTCTCCAATTGGAGCACTCGCAGGCCAGTGTTTCCCAATTTTACATCCTTATACTGCATTTTTTTAGATTTGCCAGTCAATTGAGATCTACCGGTCAATTGTGGGCTGTCCCTGGTCAATCCCGGTTGATCGTGTGATCTCCAGTGACCTACCCCCCCCCCCAAAGCTCAACATTTCTGGTCAATCCAATGGGTAGATCACTGCCAGTTTATTTATAGTGGGAGTAGATCGCAGTCTCTTGGAAGCTGAACACCCCTGGTCTATTGCATTGTAGTGCAGGGAGTGGGGAAAGGAAATTCCCCATCTCCTAAAAACCTCTTCCTAGCCTTCAGCTGTGCCCCCTGTGAGTTTTAATCAAAGCAGAACTGACAACTCCCCTGCCTCTTCCAGAAGCAACAATACAAACATCTCCCTCTCTCCCTTTGCCATTGCATAAGCCCAGGCAACTTTGTGGAGGCTTCAAAACTACAGATAAGCTTTGTACAGAATTGAAAATCTCTTTCATTTCCTTTTAAAGTCTTCGCTGACTGACGAGGCTTTCCTTGAGGGATGATCCAGCTATGATGATGTCTTCACTGGTTCATGGTGTACTCATTTGTACTTGTTTTATAAATGTGATTTCACGGATGCTATTTATAGAATAGAATAGAATCATAGAGTTGGAAGAGACCACAAGGGCCATTGAGTCCAACCCCCTGCCAAGCAGGAAACACCATCAGAGCACTCCTGACATATGGTTGTCAAGCCTCTGCTTAAAGACTTCCAAAGAAGGAGACTCCACCACACTCCTTGGCAGCAAATTCCACTGTCGGACAGCTCTTACTGTCAGGAAGTTCTTCCTAATGTTTAGGTGGAATCTTCTTTCTTGTAGTTTGGATCCATTGCTCCGTGTCCGCTTCTCTGGAGCAGCAGAAAACAACCTTTCTCCCTCCTCTATGTGACATCCTTTTATATATTTGAACATGGCTATCATATCACCCCTTAACCTCCTCTTCTCCAGGCTAAACATGCCCAGCTCCCTTAGCCGTTCCTCATAAGGCATCGTTTCCAGGCCTTTGACCATTTTGGTTGCCCTCCTCTGGACACGTTCCAGTTTGTCAGTGTCCTTCTTGAACTGTGGTGCCCAGAACTGGACACAGTACTCCAGGTGAGGTCTGACCAGAGCAGAATACAGTGGCACTATTACTTCCCTTGATCTAGATGCTATACTCCTATTGATGCAGGCCCAGAATTGCACTGGCTTTTTAGCTGCCGCGTCACACTGTTGGCTCATGTCAAGTTTGTGGTCAACCAAGACTCCTAGATCCTTTTCACATGTACTGCTCTCAAGCCAGGTGTCACCCATCTTGTAATTGTGCCTCTCATTTTTTTGCCCAAGTGCAATACTTTACATTTCTCCCTGTTAAAATTCATCTTGTTTGTTTTGGCCCAGTTCTCTAATCTGTCAAGGTCGTTTTGAAGTGTGATCCTGTCCTCTGGGGTGTTAGCCACCCCTCCCAGTTTGGTGTCATCTGCAAATTTGATCAGGATGCCCTTGAGTCCATCATCCAAGTCGTTGATAAAGATGTTGAATAAGACCGGGCCCAAGACAGAACCCTGGGGCACCCCACTAGTCACTCTTCTCCAGGATGAAGAGGAACCATTGATGAGCACCCTTTGGGTTCGGCCAGTCAGCCACTTACAAATCCACTGAGTGGTAGCATAGTCAAGACCGCATTTTACCAGCTTCTTTACAAGAATATCATGGGGCACCTTGTCAAATGCCTTGCTGAAATCAAGGTAGGCTACATCCACTGCGTTCCCTTCATCTACCAGGCTTGTAATTCTGTCAAAAACGAGATCAGATTAGTCTGACATGACTTATTTTTCAGAAATCCATGCTGACTATTGGTGATCACAGCATTCCTTTCTAGGTGCTCACAGACTGTTTGCTTAATGATCTGCTCCAGAATCTTCCCTGGTATTGATGTCAGACTGACTGGGCGGTAATTATTTGGGTCCTCTCTTTTCCCCTTTTTGAAAATAGGGACAACATTTGCCCTCCTCCAGTCTGCCGGGACTTCACCTGTTCTCCAGGAATTCTCAAAGATGACTGCCAGTGGTTCTGAGATCACATCTGCCAGTTCTTTTAATACTCTTGGATGCAGTTCATCTGGCCCTGGAGACTTGAATACATCTAAACTAGCCAAGTATTCTTGTACTATCTCCTTAGTTATTCTGGGCTGTGTTTCCTTTGCTGAATCATTTGCTTCAAATTCTTCAGGTCGGGCATTGTTTTCTTTATCGGAGAAGACTGAGGCAAAGAAGGCATTGAGGAGTTCAGCCCTTTCTGTGTCCCCTGTTTGCATTTCACCATCTTCTCCTCTGAGTGTCCCCACTGTTTCTTTGTTCTTCCTTTTGCTACAAACATACCCATAAAAGCCTTTTTGTTGCTTTTAACCTCTCTAGCAAGCCTGAGTTCATTCTGTGCTTTAGCTTTTCTGACTTTGTGTCTACACGTGCTGGCTATTTGTTTGAATTCCTCTTTGGTGGTTTCCCCCTTTTCCATTTTTGTACACATCCTTTTTAATCTTAACTCAGTTAAAAGTTCTTTAGATAGCCACCCTGGCTTCTTTAGGCACCTTCCATGTTTCCGTCTCATTGGTATTGCCTGACTTTGTGCTTTTACTATCTCCCTCTTAACAAACTCCCAGCCATCATGAACTCCCTTTCCTTTTAGTATTACTGTCCATGGGATCTCACCCAGCACTTCCCTAAGTTTTATGAAGTCGGCTTTCTTAAAGTCAAGAAATTGAGTCCTAGTATGCTTGGCTGCTCCTTTCCACTGTATAGTAAACTTCAGAAGAGCATGATCACTCGCGCCTAATGATCCTTCCACTTCTACCCCACTAACCAGGTCATCAACATTGGTTAGGACCAGATCTAAAATGGCTGTTCCTCTTGTTGCTTCTCCCACTTTCTGGACAATGAAGTTGTCTGCAAGGCCTGTGAGGAATCTGTTTGACCTTATCCTCTTGGCTGAGTTTGACATCCAACAAATATCCGGGTAATTGAAGTCCCCCATTACTACTATCTCCCTTCCTTTTGCATGCTTGGCCATCTGTTCCAGGAAGGCATCATCTATGTCCTCTGTTTGGCTTGGGGAACTATAGTAAACTCCCACAATGAGGTCACTGTTATTCTTCTCTCCCTTAATTTTGACCCAAATGCTCTCACTTTGGCTTTGAGGTTCTAAATCTTGGATCTCTTCATAGGTATACACATCCCTGACATATAACGCCACTCCTCCTCCTTTCTTGTCTGGTCTGTTTCTCTGAAATAGATTGTATCCCCCCATTATTACAATCCAATCGTGGAACTTATCCCACCAGGTTTCAGTGATGCCTATTATGTCATATTTAGTTTGCTGTACTAAGAGTTCAAGCTCATCTTGTTTATTTCCCATGCTTTGCGCATTAGTGTACAGACATTGAAGTCCATTAATCATTCCCCCGTGTCTCTTATTTAAGGATTTTTTCCTCCCACCACTAGGTCTGCGTGCTATTTGCTCCATTTGGTCTATGACATTTGGATGATCATCTTCATCAATTGATAGACTCCTACCTTCAGGAGCACTGTCTCCCTCCCCCACATTAGTCAGTTTAAAGCCCTCCTGATGAGGTTTCTGAGATTTTTGGCAAAAACATTCCTCCCAACCATTGTGAGGTGCAGCCCATCACTTGCCAGAAGTCCATCTTCAAGAAACTGCAGTCCGTGATCTAAGAATCCAAACCGTTCCTGTTTGCACCATTTGCGAAGCCAGCTGTTCACTTCCACTATTTTCCCTCTCTCCCTGGGCCACGTCGTTCAACTGGGAGGACAGATGAGATGACAATTTGTGCATTTAATTGCTTCAATTTCCTGCCCAGAGCCTCGTAGTCTCTTTTGATCTTCTGGAGGCTATTGCTTGCAGTGTCATTGGTTCCCACATGAACCAAGAGGAAGGGGTATTTGTCAGTGGGTTTTATGATTCCTTGCAGTCGTTCAGTTACATCTTGGATCTTAGCCCCAGGGAGACAGCACACTTCCCGAGACATCTTGTCAGGCCCACAGATCACTGCTTCTGTTCCCCTCAGTAGGGAATCCCCTATCACCACTACACGCCTCCTCTTAGGTTTGGTCGGGGTTCTTCCGTGAGCTGTCCGTTCCAAGGTCGCCTGCACATTCCCTGAGGACTGACTTAGCTGCTCATCTTAATATACCTGATCGACTGTAATGAGGGAGAGATCCTCAAATGGAGTCTGCTCTTCATCTTCCATGCTAGGGGAGAGGACCTCAAAGCGATTGTGTATTTCTAAACAATCAGAGCGAACCCTGGGCCTCCTACTTCTTTGAGTCACGTTTCTCCATATATCTGGCTCCTGTGTTGGTGAACTAGCCTCCTTCTCAGGGGAGTCCCCTGTCTCCTCTTTGGTGGAGACGGTGTGCTCTGTTGCTTATTTACCAACATTGTATTTTTTTTCTTATGTTGGCAGCATAGAAAATCTTGCAAATCAGTTAGATTAATATCGGTGCAGTGCTCTTACATAGCTCTCATTCATTGCAGGGAAGCTGGCACCCAAGTCTAGCATAAGCCCCTGGCATCCTGGGACATTTGCTGGGGTAAATGCACCCTGGCAGGACCCCCAGCATCCACCACCCCAACATCTGGAGCAGGGCCTGCTGGCACTGAATGTGGATGGTCATATGCAATGGTATTTTGATAGCTTTCTACCAAAATATTCTTCTTAAGACACCAGGGGTGGGGAACAGTGACCTCCTCCATTGTCCAGAACCAAAAAACTGTGAAAGTAATTCTATGCTTCCAAAAGGAGTTTCCCCTTGTGTTGTTGAAAGGCAGCTCCCCATGCTACATGGCAAACTTAAAAAATAAAACTCAGGAGAGTTTCAGAAGCAATTTGTGCTGCTGCTTCTTGGGCTGTTGTTAAATGTAAAAAAACAAAAGCTTCTTGGCATGCAAGAAGAATAAGCTACAGGGACACTGTTGGAAAGGTACGCAAAGAACATTCTCCTACTAAAACAAAACAAAAAGGGAAAGCTCTTTCTCATGTGATATTCAGAAGCGCAGGAAAGCCTTATAGATTTTAGGCCAGTTAATGAAAGAGTTAAGTTAAAGCATTCCACACCATGCGTAATCTCATTTGCAGAGTGTTTCTAAGAAGAAGAAAAGGTACATTCTGTGAGAAATTTTAAGTTGATTATATGTTTTGATGTGGTCACTTATGTACAAGAGTAGCTAGTGTGCCTACAGCTGGATGTTGCTGGACTACAGCTCCCATCATCCCTGACCATTGTCCATGCTGACAAGAGCTGGTGGGATTTGTAGTCCAAAATGTTTAGATGGCACCATGTCACCCCCCTTCCTGAATTATGAACTGATCTAGGCCTGAGCCAGAGAGCCCTGCATGCATTTTCAGGCTGCCTGGAAGAAAAGCAGTTGGTGTAAGTATTGCAACAGTGGTTGTGCACCACCCCAAATCTCTGCTGAGTGGTAGCAAGATTCCAGGGGTTTCCAGGCATGTTTCTGTTGAGAATTCAGGCATGTCAGAGACTGCAGTGTTTTAATATATATGGTTTATTTTACACTTATATCCACTGTAAAGTAGGACATATGGCCATCCTATTAATTGCCTAAAACCATACAAAGGATAAACTATATCCCTGTCAGAATGTCTTCCAATTTGAATGAAAGCTGTGAAAACAAAAGGAAGGAGAGAAACATTTCCATCATCACATTGCATAAATTAGAATAAAGATGATGAAACATGAAATGTTTGTCAGCATATAGGCGTGCAGGCTGGTCAAAGAAGGAGTGAGAGCCTTGCTGTCTGTCTCTATCTTCTGACAGCTGCAAGTTGGAAAAGCAAGTCGTGTGGAGTCTGGTCTGTAAGGGGAAGAGCTGAACTGCAGGTAATTCCAGCAAGGCCAATGTATGGAGCCTCAAAATCCCCCTCAAGCCTTCTGAGAGTATGGGGGAACCACCTTAGAAACACTATGTCAAAATTACTGCATGACAACTATGGCCACTTTCGGGCTTCTTTTCTTTCTGGCTGTCCTCAGTCACTTTTCATGTGAGTCTTTGGTGTTCCGCAACACCCTTTCCTTTGAGGTCCAGCACTGCTACCAGAAGGAAGATGACACTGGTGATAGAGCTACAGCTAGCAGTGTCTCTAGCAAAGAAGATCCTAAAATGCAAAGTTATTTTAGGTCAGAGAGGTTTTTTTTCCTGATGAGTTGTAGGAAGCCAATCAATAGATTCAACAAACCAACCAAGACAATGTTCTTAGCAAGCAGAGTTTAATGGACTGGAAGGAACTTCATTTGGTCTCCCTCAAAGCAGAAAAGCAGAGGAAATATGTCAGCTGAAGGTTTACTTCCCAGTCCCTTGATGGATTGTCAGGTTTTATTTAGTGCTCTTGATAACTTGATTTGCTTTGCATCTCTTGGGCTGGCAATGTGTTTCAGTGAGCGCTGAAGTTTTCTTCAGATAACTTCTCATTGTAGCTTCATTTTTCAAAATGTGTTTTATCATTGGGATTCAGAGAGTTTCATATGTATATTAGTATTCTTTAAAAAAAGTTTCATACTATTTTATTTGGTGTTATTTTTTTCAATGTGACTGTCATCTTTTACGTTCTTATGCTGTTAGTCATCAGGAGGACCCAGGTGGGCTGGAAGGTGAGATGAAAACCCACATTACAAAGAGGAACAGACCATCTACACTGTACTGCATTTGCAGCTGTAAAACTTCACCACAAACCATACAGGCATAAAAAAAGCTTGGGAATGGAAGTGTTTTGATGTGTGCACTGTGCTTGGGTATATACGTTTTAGAGTGTGTCCTTGCACTCTACCCTTTCTTCCTAGCAGAACTGCTAGGAAGGTGAGTGAATTATCCTCCTTTCCCTGCATTTTGAACATCGTGGTGCCAAGCAGGCAAAGAGAGGGGTTTCCAGAGGCAGCAGAACTGAGCTTTCTAGGCTACCAGACATTCTGGGTTGTACTAAGCTAAGTTTGACTTAAGGTAGACCTACTGAAATTAATTAACCTTAGGCTACTCTGAGTAAAGCTTAGTGGAATGCCACCTACTTACTGCTTTCCACAAAACCAAACCATGGGATGCTAGAGGCAGGCTCAACTGAACTTTGTATTCAACTGTATTTCATTATATCAGACATTCCGTGTCATGGGAACATTGCTGATGGAGCTCACTTCATCAAAGTGGCCTTTGAATAAAAATTACACTTTGTAGGCCAAGTAGTCAAACAGGTCTAGATTTTGTGATCTGGCCAAGTTTAATGATTTAGGTTGTTGCCACGGCATTGGATCAAAGTTACTCCTTCATGACATGTTTCAAGAGACAATTTAAGGTTGTGTAATATCACAGCACAAGCAATAATGTGCTGGGATTGCATGCAGGTGACCAGACAAAGAGGGGAATGAACCACCCTCCAAAAGAAAACCAGAAAATAAAAATGCAATAGCAAAACTAATAAGGTTCCATATTTATTTACTATTTCCCAATGCATTTTGCTGATCTTTATCAGAGTAGCCTTTTCAACAGTTCAGCTGAATTTACACATGCATCTGATTGAGGTGGAAGTGTTTGGAGTTACTAAAATTAAATGTACCACTTTGAAAACAATTTTGAATGCTCCTATGCATGGAGAATTCTCTCCAGGTAGCAACTAAAATAGCAAGGAGAGGACTATGCTGAACCTTTGTCTCTGATGTGATAAGGTTTTATAGCCTAGGTGTACAAAAATCACACTTTCAGCTTGATCTTTAAAATACAGGGGGAGCAAAAGCAATCAGCAGCATTTTTATAGCCATACTACAAAAAACATGGGTTCTTGTAATGGTTGAGTTTTACTCCCATTTAAGATGTCTGGATTGAAAAGGCGCAAGAATCAATTACTCCTGAGTGCCTGTAGAGTATACACACTTCTCCTGAGTGGTGGATTGCAGAGATAAGCCAAAACTGGGAATGAACCCTTTGTGGGAGAAGACTGATGGTGTTTACAAAGATAACTGGAATTTCTGGAGGGAAAAATGGTTCTGAAATGGGTTTTTTTTCCTTTAAGTGAAATGACCTTTCCAAGAACCTTCTACAATTACTTCAAGCCAACAAAGAGGATGTTAAATTCCAGCCTTCATTTATTTTCTTTAGTAGCTAGGGGCTGCATTACATCTGTAACTCCAAGATTCCTCTTTCTGTTATTTTCCTGATGGCATCAAATGCCTCTTGACCCCTGTGACAGCTGAACAAATAAGGATGGAGAAAAGGGGCCTAATTATGACTTTCAACATAAATATGGAATATTATTGAATTTAGGTTGATCATGATGTGATTCCTCTCCCCGCCCTTCATTGGCATAGTGAGTCTTTTCGAAATCAATACTTGGAATGGTTTTGGTTATATGAATAACACCTGGATAACAATGACCATTGGATGTGTACAGTGGGAGCTTCACTCCAAAGCTTTAGAAAACTCAATTAGATGTTTGCCTCCTGCCTTGCAAACCTTTAAGCTGTTGCTGCTGTTGCAGCTGTGTTGTGCCTTGTGGGACGGATTTGTGACACAGTGCGGAGGTCAGCACAATGCTGGGAATGGAGAAGATGAGCCAATGGGAAGGTAAAACCCCCCCTTTGTACAGCAGGCACTTATTTCAGCTGAGAATACCTCCTCTGAGTTAGTCTCTTCACAAAATCAGTTGAGTGTGGTTTAACAGTTGAGTGCCCTTTCTTTTTGTGAGTCTTTTAAAATCATTCATAGCCAACACGGAGGTCTCTGGATGGTGTTGGACTTTGACTCCCATCACTTCTGACCATTTGCCATGCTGGCTGGGGCTCATGGGAGTTTGGAGCACAACATATTGTTGCACGCTATCCCAATCTCTGAGCAGTACAAGATTCCAGGGGTTCCAGGCGCTTAACCAGGGTTTGTGTTTCCCTTGGAAATGAGGCACAGTGGAGACTGTGGTGTCTTTACGATATATGGTTATTTACACATTTATACCTCAGCCTACAATGGAGGGGTTCAAAGCATTACAGCGGCTCCTATTCCACAAGCTTAGGAAAGGAGAGGCACTGGTGTGTGAAATGGAGGTTGAGTTTTGAGCTGGAGTTACCTTGAAGCACTGGCAGAGGAAGAGGAGTGTGGGGGAGCGCCCCACCCCCAGCAGTGCGATCCCCAGGGTGCCATCGCAGCTGCCCCCCCCGCCCCTGCAGGCGGCGCCTCCCCTCATCCCCAGGATGCCTGCTACACCCCTGTGGGCAGCGCGCCCAGCCCCTGGTACACACACCAGTCCCTCCCCTGCCTGCTCTCTGCCACTGGTGCCAGAGGATGAAGCTCCGCCACTGCCTTGAAGCTGCCCAATAAACATTTTGTGAACTCCTACAGTATGGATTCATTCACCCCATGCCTAAGGCATGTTACTTTTGCCTTGCACATTGCTTCAAAGTCTTTTCTGATTATTATACCAGATATACCAATTATCTTCAACCAGCTCTTCACTGCTGATCTACTTTAGATAAAACCCTTCATTTGCGCACACTGAGTTGGAAAGTCAGCAACTTTCTGTACACATATCCTGCTACCACCAAATAATTGATGACTAAGATAAAATTTGAAGAAAAATTTGATCTCCCTGAGACATCAATACCTGATAATCCGCTTTCACTTCTCCATATGTAGTCCTCCATTTGCCTATATGGCAAACTGGCAATATGTTTCATAGAAGTCAATGAGTCTTTGTTTTCAATCAAGTGTTACAATCAGGGTGTCAGTTGAAAAAACAAATTGCCATGTCCTTGGAAGAATAGGGAACAGTCTGAATGACATTTAAGATTCTTAACCAAAATAGGAAACACTGGAAATTTCATCAGCAAGTCTGATTTTGGCCTGGTTTCCAGTCATATTTTACAGGGTTGCAATGTATTGATAAACATCTGAACTCTTGGGGCCTTACCTGAGAGCAATGATTTATCAGACTGTAGATCTTATGCTATTTGATTGCATATGAACTGGCCCCAAAATGGCTAAATAGAGGAAATTAATTCTTAATTAAATAAGAAGCGCTCCCTCAGGACATTAAAGCAATCAAGACAGGTTAAGATGCACTGCCTGTTGCCAAAGAGGAAATGTGTACTCTCAGCATGGGAATCTAGCCCAAGATTTTCTGGCTCAGAGATCCTATTGCAGGGGAATCTTTTTTTAAAAAAAAAAGTCTTGTGTTGCATGTTTTTAAGTACAGTCATTAGAGAGTGCCTCTAATCATTTCAGAGGTAAAAATCATTTCTTTCTTTCTTTCTTTCTTTCTTTCTTTCTTTCTTTCTTTCTTTCTTTTTCTTTTTCTTTTTACCAAAAATTAAAACCCAGTATTACACTTTTCTTATATTATTCAGAATAATTTGTAAAAGGTACATGGCTTCTTAGTAAATTATTTGATGTAAAACTTTTGGCTGTCAGGGATCTGCTCTGCCATGTTTCCCCCTCTGGCCTTGTTCCTAGTAATCAAGATGGCCAAACGTACAACAATGCATTAACACCCCAACAATATGAATATGAAGTCATAACAATGCCAGCCATTATGTGGCCTGGAATGCTGGATCATTCGCAAGGAGCAGAACTGACATCTTGAAATAATATACAGTATATGTCTTCTGTGCAGCTTTATTTCCTATGTCAGAAAAGTCAGATACTGTAAGCAAAACTATGAAGGCAAGGAAGAATAGAAGTAAATTAGCCACGCCAGCCAGGAAATGTGAGGGCAGCATTTTGATAGGCAAGATTAACCAATTAATCAATCCTATTCATAGAATCATAGAGTTGGAAGAGACCACAAGGGCGATCGAGTCCAACCCCCTGCCAAGCAGGAAACACCATCAGAGCACTCCTGACATATGGTTGTCAAGCCTCTGCTTAAAGACTTCCAAAGAAGGAGACTCCACCACACTCCTTGGCAGCAAATTCCACTGTCAAACAGCTCTTACTGTCAGGAAGTTCTTCCTAATGTTTAGGTGGACTCTTCTTTCTTGTAGTTTGGATCCATTGCTCCGTGTCCGCTTCTCTGGAGCAGCAGAAAACAACCTTTCTCCCTCCTCTATGTGACATCCTTTTATATATTTGAACATGGCTATCATATCACCCGTTAACCTCCTCTTCTCCAGGCTAAACATGCCCAGCTCCCTTAGCCGTTCCTCATAAGGCATCGTTTCCAGGCCTTTGACCATTTTTGTTGCCCTCCTCTGGACACGTTCCAGTTTGTCAGTGTCCTTCTTGAACTGTGGTGCCCAGAACTGGACACAGTACTCCAGGTGAGGTCTGACCAGAGTAGAATACAGTGGCACTATTACTTCCCTTGATCTAGATGCTATACTCCTATTGATGAGGCCCAGAATTGCATTGGCTTTTTAAGCTGCCGTGTCACACTGTTGGCTCATGTCAAGTTTGTGGTCAACCAAGACTCCTAGATCCTTTTCACATGTACTGCTCTCAAGCCAGGTGTCACCCATCTTGTATTTGTGCCTCTCATTTTTTTGCCCAAGTGCAATACTTTACATTTCTCCCTGTTAAAATTCATCTTGTTTGTTTTGGCCCAGTTCTCTAATCTGTCAAGGTCGTTTTGAAGTGTGATCCTGTCCTCTGGGGTGTTAGCCACCCCTCCCAGTTTGGTGTCATCTGCAAATTTGATCAGGATGCCCTTGAGTCCATCATCCAAGTCGTTGATAAAGATGTTGAATAAGACCGGGCCCAAGGCAGAACCCTGGGGCACCCCACTAGTCACTCTTCTCCAGGATGAAGAGGAACCATTGATGAGCACCCTTTGGGTTCGGTCAGTCAGCCACTTACAAATCCACTGAGTGGTAGCATAGTCAAGACCGCATTTTACCAGCTTCTTTACAAGAATATCATGGGGCACCTTGTCAAATGCCTTGCTGAAATCAAAGTAGGCTACATCCACTGTGTTCCCTTCATCTACCAGGCTTGTAATTCTGTCAAAAAAACGAGACCAGGTTAGTCTGACATGACTTATTTTTCAGAAATCCATGCTGACTATTGGTGATCACAGCATTCCTTTCTAGGTGCTCACAGACTGTTTGCTTAATGATCTGCTCCAGAATCTTCCCTGGTATTGATGTCAGACTGACTGGGTGGTAATTATTTGGGTCCTCTCTTTCCCCCTTTTTGAAAATAGGGACAACATTTGCCCTCCTCCAGTCTGCTGGGACTTCGCCTGTTCTCCAGAAATTCTCAAAGATGGTGGTTCTGAGATCACATCTGCCAGTTCTTTTAATACTCTTGGATGCAGTTCATCTGGCCCTGGAGACTTGAATACATCTAAACTAGCCAAGTATTCTTGTACTATCTCCTTAGTTATTCTGGGCTGTGTTTCCTTTGCTGAATCATTTGCTCCAAATTCTTCAGGTCGGGTATTGTTTTCTTTATCGGAGAAGACTGAGGCAAAGAAGGCATTGAGGAGTTCAGCCCTTTCTGTGTCCCCTGTTTGCATTTCACCATCTTCTCATCTGAGTGACCCCACTGTTTCTTTGTTCTTCCTTTTGCTACGAACATACCCATAAAAGCCTTTTTTGTTGCTTTTAACCTCTCTAGCAAGCCTGAGTTCATTCTGTGCTTTAGCTTTTCTGACTTTGTGTCTACACGTGCTGGCTATTTGTTTGAATTCCTCTTTGGTGGTTTCCCCCCTTTTCCATTTTTTGTACACCTCCTTTATTAATCTTAACTCAGTTAAAAGTTCTTTAGATAGCCACCCTGGCTTCTTTAGGCACCTTCCATGTTTCCGTCTCATTGGTATTGCCTGAAGTTGTGCTTTTACTATCTCCCTCTTAACAAACTCCCAGCCATCATGAACTCCCTTTCCTTTTAGTATCACTGTCCATGGGATCTCACCCAGCACTTCCCTAAGTTTTATGAAGTTGGCTTTCTTAAAGGCAAGAAATTGAGTCCTAGTATGCTTGGCTGCTCCTTTCCGCTGTATAGTAAACTTCAGAAGAGCATGATCACTCGCGCCTAATGATCCTTCCACTTCTACCCCACTAACCAGGTCATCAACATTGGTTAGGACCAGATCTAAAATGGCTGTTCCTCTTGTTGCTTCTCCCACTTTCTGGACAATGAAGTTGTCTGCAAGGCCTGTGAGGAATCTGTTTGACCTTATGCTCTTGGCTGAGTTTGACATCCAACAAATATCCGGGTAATTGAAGTCCCCCATTACTACTATCTCCCTTCCTTTTGCATGCTTGGCCATCTGTTCCAGGAATGCATCATCTATGTCCTCCGTTTGGCTTGGGGATCTATAGTAAACTCCCACAATGAGGTCACTGTTATTCTTCTCTCCCTTAATTTTGACCCAAATGCTCTCACTTTGGCTTTGAGGTTCTAAATCTTGGATCTCTTCACAGGTATACACATCCCTGACATATAACGCCACTCCTCCTCCTTTCTTGTCTGGTCTGTTTCTCTGAAATAGATTGTATCCTTCCATTATTACATTCCAATCGTGGGACTTATCCCACCAGGTTTCAGTGATGCCTGTTATGTCATATTGATTTATCAAGGCCGAAATCCTATGGCGCTTACCTTGGAGTCTGCACCATTGAACATAGTGGGAAACATATACAGCAGAGGTACAGACCCTCAGTTCTAGGGTCCAAATGTAGCCTTTCAGTTCTCTTTGTCCAACCCTCCAGGTGGCATTCCTCACTGGCCCTGCTCTGCACTCTCCTTGAGTACCTTCACCTGGCTGGAATGTGTCCTTGTATGAGGCCATGCCTCTTGCTTGCCTAGATGGAGCATGAAGGTCTCTCTGTGTGTTCTGTTGTGATCACTGACTTCAGCAGAGGCAAGGCCAGGGTACCTTGGACAGGGCCATGTAGGGCCCAGATTGCATACTTTGTGAGATCCAACCTCAGATGTTGCTTCAGCAGCAATCATTCTCAGACGGGTTCATGACTGATGACATCTGCACAGCTTAGCTCACTATATCCCCTCTTTGTTGGGAAACTGCATGGGCAAAACTTTCGTTTTCCATTCGGGGCACAACAATTTTTTGTTCCCAAGAGAGTGCAGGCATTACACTGGCCCAAACTTTCAGCTTTTAAGTAAAAGAGGCTTTGTTTGTTTCTAGATTTGCCAGTTTTCTTGGTGATCTGAAATGTCTATGTTGTATCTTAAGGTGGGTGCATTAAAAGGGGGGGGCAGACCAATATATTATATTATATTATATTATATTATATTATATTATATTATAATATTATATATGATTGATCTGCTTCATTTTACAGTAAGTCGGGGACATAAAAAGCCTGAGAGTTCAAGGACGGCAAGACAGAAAACACCGCTTCCTTTCACTGAAAGAATGTGGCTGGAAGTATCCCTGAAGGAGATTCATCCTGTTGTTGTTTCAAGGATCCTGGCAAGGCTAGTATTTGAAAGCCACCCATGAACAATAGAACGAAAACAGCTGCACAGCAACCCTAATCTGGTTAGTGACTGTGTAAATACAGTGTAGAGCTATGAAAAGGTCATTGACAGAGGTGCCCTGCTGTGCTACAATGCACGCAGGTGCTGTGGGTGTATTCCTAATTGCATCATATCACTGATGGCGGGGAAATTAATGGGTCGTATATAGTCTGGCCTCTTGTTCCAGTCATACATTCCATAAAAAAACTGACTCTGACTTCAGTGCATTATTCTACACAGGCTTCACGAGGCGGTAAATTGCCTCATTGCCTGTCCCATGTTGACAGAGAGCCCTCGCCCTTCTGACTTTCCAAAATAAAATAACTCTTCACAGCTATCTCCAAGGAAATGGGCCATGTCAGTAAGCCATGCCCTCCCCCCCTTTGGAGCCCTACAGGCTCTGCGTTCGCTGGCTTTTTCTGCTTCTTCTTCTTCTCTTAAAATAGTTTTGAGAAGAGATAGGAGGTTTTCATGAACAAAAAGCATGAGACTATGTCTCATCCTAAGTTTTAGTAAGGCTGCTGTTGTGACATCACACTTCATTAGGCCTCACTGGTGAAAACCCTTAGCGATGCTTTTGTATAGCAAAAATTCAGATTTGTGGAATAATATGGTCCTTTACTGAACTATTTTAAATTAAAGCCTCTGCAGCCTGTCAGGTTTCGCATAACTTTTAATCCAGGCAGAAAGGAATGATAGCTAAATTCTTAGCTGTAGAACGCACATAGTTGCTTATTAATGCAAATGCCTGTTGGCTCTCAAAGTAGCAGTCAAATCACATAATATTTTAGCTCTGCAAATATTGTACTGCTGCTGCTACTTCTATTGCTAAGGGCCAAACTGCATGTCATGTTTATCACAAATTGGCAGCATGGGGACCCGGATCCAGACTGGGAAACTGGTATGGGGGGATTGTGGGGGGCTTTAACCCTTGTCCCCAGCTATCGTACCAATCTGCAACAGTCCCTCCACATGCAGTTTGCATTGCAGGAAGGAGTGAATCCCTCCCACCCCATTCCAGGGTCTTCACATAGATCTCACCCCCCACTCCTGCATCCTGACCTGACATTGTGTGAAAGAAAAAGTTTGTTCTCAAAGTACGTGCAGATAAGGATCACGTGTAGTTTGGCTGTTGCACCACCAGTGGGTTGCCTGCTGTAATGATCCAAGACTGATGCTTATTCTCTGCTCTCATCAGTGCTGAAATACCCTCTTCAGCCTGCTTTTCTAACCGAGCTTAATTCCATCTGACGGCAAGCACTATTGAATAAGACATGGCTTCTTCGTTTTTCTTAAAAAAATAATCAAAGCCTTTTCATACATTACTTGAATTGTAGAGTTTGCATTAGCACTAGTACCTTACACTTCTGATTCCCTGCAATTAATGTTTAAAGTGGGACTTGTGGATCTCACCTCCAGCCTGAACTTCCTGATTTCCCTGCAGTCAATCATTCCCCCTTAAACTGCACCATTGTTTCTCACTTCACCCCCTGCCCTCCAGCATCGACAGATGCTTCCTGCATATGAAATAGTTTGCTTATAGTCTACAGGCATGGGTATAGATTAACTTGAACCATTTTGTGAGACTTTTGTATGAAAAAACAGTGTATAAAAATAAACAGCATTGTGTTAGGTGTTAGTGAGTTGCAATCAATTTCTTTCCCTTGTTTTCTTCTATATATCTCTTGGGAAGAACCACTTTCCTGGCTGTTCACTGAAGGCTTTATAAAAATGTGGACTCACATTTCAAACATCAGAAGAAAATATCTTATATTGATGATGGTGATTTATAGATTTATAGATTTATAGAACTGTAGAGTTGGAAGGGACCACAAGGGCCATCTAGTCCAACCCCCTGCAATGCAGGAAATTTTCACCCAACATGGGGCTCAAACCCAAGACCCTGAGATTAAGAGTCTCATGCTCTACCAACTGAGCTATGATGATGATAAGTTCTAAGGCTTCAAAATAAGATCATGCCGGATCAGACCAATGGCCCATTTAGTCTAGCAACTTGTTCTTGTGGTGATCAACCAGATGCTTATAGAAAGCCTCCAAGCAGGACCTGAGTGTGGCTTCCTATGATTTCCACCAATGGTATTAAGAAGCCAATTGCCACCATCTGTGGAGGAGAAGCAGTACAATCATGGCTAGTGAATATATATTTTATGGCTATCCAGGTTGGTGGCCATCACTGCCTGCTGGAGCAAATTCAAAAGTTTAATTATCTGCTGTGTGAATAAGTATTTTCTTTCGGCTCCTGAATCTTCCTCTTCCTTGGATGTCCACAAGAGACCCTCAGGGTCCCTTCCAACTCTTCAATTCTGTGATTCTATGATTCCAGGACAGGTATCCATTTCACTCTATTAGTACTAACTTAACACCATTCCAAAATGATAGTTTGTGTATCATTATTAATAGAACACATTGTGCACTGACTAACAAGACCCACCGTTTGGCCATCCTGTTAAAATTCCAGCCTGGGTCATGTTAAGCTCTTTCTGTTCTTTTTGTTTCCTCTCCCTTTCATGAGCCCTCCTGTTAGTAATACAGTCTCGGCCACCACAGAAAATTGAAAGAATTGTGCTTCACTTTGGAAGCCACTGTGGACTCAAAACAACATGTGCAGCGTTTCTGCTTGCCAAAACAGCATTCTGTCTTGTTCATGATGATGCACACAGAGTTCTGGTTAAATAGTAACCTCCACCCTCAAATGAGCGTGACTGTGATTTACGTGTTAATGTTCTCTAAAGGAATGGATTTATATGTTCCCTGAGATAGTGTATGAAAATCTTGTTCCTGTTTACAAGGACCGTTGCAGTCATGGGAATGCCATATTTGCTCTCTTTTCTTCAAAAAGCCACCAATAAATTATTGGCTGTTCTTTTGCTTCTTTGTGGCCCACTCTAGATTTACCTATAAAATGTGTCTTCTAAAGGTTCATCAAACTGCTCTGTTTTATTATTTTTTGATGCTTTGCTGAATGTTTATTGAACTTTTTATTGATGTATTTCTTTGTATTGCTTATAGATTTTTTTAAAGTGATCTTATTTTGTTTTCCTCAAGACAGATTAAGGTTTTGCATATTAAGTAGGGTATAAGTATTATTGAGGAATAATAAAATGGCATTCAACATTCTTTCTCACAAAAGTCAGTCTGAAATTCTATGCAGGTATAGTGAGCTAGGTATAGTGAGGCAACTATAACCATACACAGAAAACCGAGGGCCATTTTTTGTGTGTCAGAAGAATACCTGAGGAAGAATATATTACATTGGAAGTAGACCTTATTCCCTCCAAAACAAACTGAAGCCATGGATAGACTCTTCTAGTATATTCTAGAACAGGACAAGCAGAGGATCAAGTAGTTGTCTATTTATCCAGCCACCTTGCTCCAACCACCCATCCCCATTGTCCATAACTATACTACATGAGCAGAGTTTAAAATTACGAGAAACCTCCAGAAGTAAACCAGGCTGTCCAGAGCAGATGTTTGCTCTCTAATGTGGGGAGGAAAGCAGGTTGGCTAGAAGGGCATGTTGGACGGGGAGGGCCGGCCATTCCCATGATATTCTAATTCTGTGTGGGAACTGGATTTTTGAATAGGTCAATCATCATAGAATCACAGAATTGTACAGTTGGAAGGGACCCCAAGGGTCATCGAGTCCAGCCTCCTGCAATGAAGGAATGTCAACTAGATCACACATGACTGATGGCCATCCAACCTCTGCTTGAAAACCTCCAAGGAAGGAGATTCTACCACCTCTTGTGGGAATCTGTTCCACTGTTGAACAGCTCTTACTGTCAGAAAGCTCTTCCTGATGGTTAGTTGGAATGTTCTTTCTTGTAACTTGAATCCATTGGTTTGGGTCCTACCCTCCGGAGCAGGAGAAAACAAGCCTGCTCCATCTGCCATGTTACAGCCCATTAGATATTTGAAGATGGCTAGTTGAAAGGATAAGGTGCTGAAATAGTCTTTCAGTAATCAAAACCTAGAACATTCAAATCTTAACCTTTGTCCAGTAAGTCATTTTGTGTGTCACCTTCTCACTTTCCTTGTTTAAAGCTGTTGGGAGCAAGGTGTTAAACCCAGTGGAAAAGTCTTCCTGTTAGCACATTTGCTAATGAGATGGTTTGGAGGCTGGGTAATATTTCTTCCATGCTTCTGGAATTACACAACATGGTTATTGCAAACAAATGAAGGTTTAACTTGGCAGGTCAGTATGGCCCAAGATCTGTGTTTTCTACATAAATTCCCAGCATGACCGATTCTCATGCTAATGTAACTTACAGCTTGTAAAGAGTGCAGGGGATCTAGAGACACTCATATGTTTGTTTGTGTTTTTTTTTAAAAAAAATGCTTTCAAATAGTTCTGTAAATGGAAGCACTGGGGAAACTGTGTATCTATAGCTGAAATCAGAAGGCAATGGTGTCTTCCATAGGAAAGCAGAGCAGTGGTTGCCTTTCCACACCTTAATGAGCATCTGTTCTTTTTCATGAGAAGCAATGGGCAACCCTGGCATGTCTGCAGTGCAAACCAGCTGTTCCTCACCTATCACACCTGATTCCTATGCAGTGGAGGGTAAGACAAGGCAAAAGCAGAGAGGAAGGAAAATGGTCTGCACTCAACAGCAGCACTCACTTTGGTTTCCAAAGTGAAATCAAAACTTATGGAGCACCACTCTTTGCCCACTTTGTCCTCTCCCCCTGAAAGGTGGTGTGGACTGGGTCCCACTGAGGACACCTTGCAAAGACCTCATCTCAAAACTTAAAGGCAGCATGGAAAGGAGCTATGTTGAGGCATTCAGCAGAATGCACAACGCGTAAAAGAAATAGATGAGGTGGTGGAAGCAAGCATGCAAGTCCCCCCCACAACATCCCTAGGCTTATTGACTGCTTTTGAGACCTGTGTGTAATTAGGAAAAGCTCTGAATAAGGTTTTAAAGCACCTTCAGGAGAACACACTTGAAAACCTCTCTCAGA